CATTTGGAATTCCTCCTTGTATTTTTCGAAAACTCAGTAGTATTGCTTGAGATGAAGTCTCGCTATGTAGCCCACATTAGCCTGGCAATCCTCCTGCCTCAGCCTTCTGAATGCTGGGCTGTCAGCTGTGTAACCCCATACCTTGCTAAACATTTGGTGTCATATATGGGGCATTTGGAAGTGTCTCACAAATGTCTTTAAGACCTCATTAAAACACCTATGCAGAATCTACAGAGAGCGTGCGAAATCCCCCCAGTTGAAGCCGCACAATAGCCAAGGTGGGAGCATGGGGTAACTCCCTTCCCTGGTTTTTGCTAGGCCATGTTCAAAGGGGAAGTCTTTGAACCTTCTCTGCCCTCCCGTGGTGGCTGGGGGAGGGACCAGCAATTCCCCCTCCATGGTGCTCTCTCTGCAGAGCCTGGGGACAGTGCATGCATACACGAGGACTATGCTCAAAGCCCAGCACTCACATGAAGAACTGGGTGTGTGGCTCACGCTTGTGATCCCAGGATAGAGAGATGGAGACAGGCGCATCCCTGGGGCTAGCTGGGTAGCTAACCTAGCTAATTTGATGAGTTCCAGGCCCATGAGAGATCCTGTCTCAAAAATGAGATGGACGCTCCCAGTGGATAACAGCCAGTGTGGAATTCTGAACACACACACACCAACATGCACGCACACACACACACACAAAATGAGAAAAGAAGAAAAAGACCTACAACTTACACAAGAGTCCCCTTCCCCAAGTGTGATTTTTGTAGCAGGGGAGGGCAGTTTTGAAGCATTAGGGTGATGAAGGAGACAAACATGGCTGAGGGGACATGGGGACAAAGAACCAGCTCCACAGTAGTTGTGTTTGCATAAATTAAACACACACGCATACACAGAGGTACACATGAAGACACACAGGCACATGCATGCATACACACAGACACATGTGCATGCATACACACAGACACATGCATGCAGACAGAGACACACGTGCATGCAGACACACAGACACATGCAGACACACAGACACATGCATACAGACACACGTACATGCATACATATGGACACATGCATGCATACACAGAGACACACTGCATGCATACACACAGACACATGCATGCATACACAGACACACGTGCATGCACAGACGCATATAGACACAGACACATGCATGCATACACAGACACACGTACATGCATACATATAGACACATGCATGCATACATAGAGACACACATGCATGCAGACACATGCATGCATACACAGAGACACATGCATGCAGACACACAGACACATGCATCAGTAGAAAGGCAGAGACTACCATGATTATATGAGGGTGGTTGTGGGGCAGGAGGGAGATGGGGATGGGGGAAGGGAGGAAGAATGCTGCAGCCCAGCCCAGAGGAGCAGCCCAGCCAGGTGGAGCATCCCAGCCTGGTGGAGCAGCTTCTGGAGAAGAGGAGGGGATGGAGGGGTGGCTGTCCAACCTCTGCTTCTCACACTCCAACTGCTTTAGGGCCTGGTGATCTGTCACTGAGCCAGAGTAACTCTGGGACTGAGAGTTCTGTTAGGTGGTGAAGTCCAGCCCAACTGGACAAGTGGATACCAGTGAGAAACTGCTGATTTAAGAAAAAATAAAATGCTCTGGATTCCACCCTCAGCACCGCAAACCAACCAACGTAAATCAAATCAAATAAAGTGAGAAGAGCCACTCACTGTCTCTGCCCTGTGGCAGAGGCTTTCCCTGCCACCTACACGCAACCACGGAGTTCAGATTTTACAGAATGCTGTCAGTACCTTTGGAGTCCCTCCAGTGCCCAGTGGGGTTTGTTTTCACAGGAGGGCGCTGTGGGGACAGGGGCCCTATTTAGTGGAGGGCAGTGCTCTGGGTTGGGGCCCCATCTGCCTCATATCTGCTGAGTGCCTGCTGCTCTGCTGTAGGTGCTGGAGATGCGGCAGGGAATGGCAGAGTGTGCCTGGGAGTGGTGACGGCAGGTGACAAGCCAGTCACCAGGCAACTGTGTGTGCGGTCCCTGTGGATGGTCTGTTGACTGTGTATGTGTGTGTGCGTGTGCATGCCTGTGTGCACAGGGCCAGGTATATGATCAGATAGCACCTCTGGGCAGTGCTTCTCTGATCCTGCACTGTGACCCAGCAGGCACATACAAAGGATGTATAGGGGAGTCTGGGGCAGCGGGCAGATGTGGCATGGACATTTCCACTTGCAACTGAGAGATGCATAGCCTTTTTTTCTTTAGCGCTTGCTGTCACCATGCTGGTACCCAGGAGCAAGGCAAGCAAGCCTCGGATGGTGCCATACTGCCCACCTCCCCAGCCCCTCCGCTGGTGTTTATCGTGAGTGTACAGAATCCCAGCACTTGGGAACCCAGCCATTTACTAGTCTCTTCTTGACGACAGGAATGCTATGCTTTCAGACCACACTAGATACCAGGCCTGTTGGTCCATGCATTTAGTTTCAGCACCTTGGAGATGGAGTTCAAGGCCAGCTTGGGATACATAATGAGAATTTCAAAAAACCATAAACCAAGCCAAATCTAGTGGCACAGGCCTGACATCTTAGGTTCTCAAATAGGCAAGAGGGGGATGAAAGTCTTGCGGTGTGCCTAGGTTAGAGAGTAGGTTCAAGGCCAGCCTGGGCAACTGAGTGAAAACCTGTCTCAGAATCAAAAGTGAAAAGAGGGCTGCGGTGTGGCCCAGTGGTAGAGCACCTGCCTAGAATGTTGGAGACCCTGGTCCCTTACCAATACTGCAAAACGAAAGCCCAGCAATGACAGGTCTGAGAAAAACCCAACCTCGAGGCATAGTAAAACACTGTGGCTCTCACTTCTGAAAAGAAAACTGGTGGAGGCCACGGTGGGGGGAAAGAGCTTGATGCACAGGCGGGAGGACCATTGTTGGAGATGCACAGGCGGGAGGACCATTGTTGGAGATGCACAGGCGGGAGGACCATTGTTGGAGCTCCAGCGTCAGTGGGGAAGACAGGCATGGGGTGCACATCTGCACCCCAGCGCTGGGAGGAGGGCTGGAGGATCCCTGAGCTGAGTGATCTGTGCCCTCCAGTTCAGAGAGAGCCAGCTTCAGAAAAACAATGGCGAGTGATTGTGGAAGACACCTGACATCTGCGTGTACACACACACACACACACACACACACACACACACACACACACACAGAGATGGAAGCAGAGGACCCCCTGTTAGACAGGCAGGACTCTGAGTATGCGCTGGGGATGTCGGCTTGGGAACTCCAGACAGGAAGGAGAGCTCTCTGAGCTTGTGGGACTGCGAGTAGCTTTTGTCTCTGTATGTTTATCTAAGTGTATTTTCTCGTTAGGAAAACTAGAAAATTAATTTGTATTCATTCTGTAATAAATAATTAAAAGACACATTTACATAAGCCCAGAAAGGTATGAAAACAAATGTAAACAGGAGTTATTTATATCTGGGTGGTGGGATGTGATGATTTTTTTTTAAAATATGGATAATTAAAACCGTTACTTTTTTCTTTTGTTGTGTGCTGGTTCGTTGGTTGGATTTGACTACAGTCTCTCCTGGGCCAGGCTGGCCTGGAACTCACTATGTGGTTCAGGCTGGCTTTCACCCGGCACCATAGGTGCACAGCACCATGCCCAGCAGGCTTTACACTTCAGCTCTGGAAGGCTGGCCCCTGAGAGTGGCTAGGCCCATGGACCTTTCTGCTTTGGATCTCAGCTTTTAAGGCAGACCAGTAGACAGTGGAATGCAGAGCCCCTAACTGGTGACAGAGGAGAGTGTTCTGATTTCTATTGCGGTGTTTCATCCTTTGATGATGTCCATTCTGTAGCAGGAGGTCTGCCCTAGTGAGGGGCATAGACAGCCCAGCAGTCAGAAGGATGCAGACACAGATGTCAATTATTTCTGCCAGTTTGTTTCCTTGACGTCTAACTGCATCCCTCTAACTGCTTGTGAGGTGGACTTGGAGAAGAGAGTGACAGCCCCAAGAGCAGTGGTGGTGCTGGCTCTCAAGTTTCTCTGGTTCACCTGTCCTTGCTTCCCAGCCACTCAGAAAGGGCCTGGCCCCACCAGCCCTCCCCCAGGGTTTCCATTCTTCCCAGAGTCTGGCTCTCCAGGAGAGTTACGTGGGGCCGCTGACCCCTCTGCTGAACTGTCTGGGACCTTCTGTGAGGGGGCCCTCCTCTCTTCTAGCGCACAGGAGGCTGGAGCAAGAGTGTCTGCAAGTTGGGGACAATCTGGGCTACAGAGCAGGCTTAAGGTCAGCCTGAGCTATGGAAAGAGTTTCAAACCAGTTGGAGATACAGAGTGAGACCCCAACCTTATCTCAAGCAAGCAAACAAACAAACCAATAATAAGAGAAAAACAAAACCCAAGAAACAACCAACAACAAAGTCCTCACTCGGGTGAGCCTGGTGTCTAATAACAGCTGCAGACATTTGGAAACAGTGGCCAGGGCACTGCTGAGCATCCTGCAGCACTCAGGACAGCTCCACCTCAACCCGAGGTGGGAGGCAGCTCCCAACAGCCGGCTTGGTTACCAGCACGGCACCAGCCCCACCGCAAGGGGCAGGCTGTGCACCAAACAAAGACAGCTAAAGTCACTTCAAGCCCCTACTAACTACTATGTCAGTGCCAGCCTCGGCCCCATGGTCCCCATCATTCAATCAGCTAGCTCCCCAGGCCCCACTTTCTAGATAAGGCACTGAGGCTTGCTGGGAGTGCCCGTCTCAGGCCAAAAACTGCGAGGGTGAGGTGGTAGGACCTCTCCTGGCCACCTCAAGGCACCCTGTCCTGTGGAGTGAGGGCGTGGCAGGCACCCCAGGAAGATGCACACAGCCTGCGTGGAAGTACATCGCAAAGGTGGGCCGGGCGGCGACGCGAGGAGCTGGTGCGCTGGCGCCAGGAACTCCAGGTTGAGAGGGATCGAGAGGGAGGCAGAGGCTTATGCCTTTTGTACTCTGACCCACGGTCCAAACAGCGATGAAGGCGGACTCACCTGGATGCTGTTCTCTTGCAGGTTCAGGTAGCGGGTGTTGACAGGGATGCTGGCAGGCACCTCCGCCAGCTCCCTCCGTGTGCAGATCACCCTGCTGGCCTGGTTGCTGCAGGAGCAGGCTGCCGGGCAGGAGGTGGCTGGTGGGGACCCTCCTCCAGCAGCTGCGGTCAAGGCCACACCGCCCCCACCGGCTCCCAGGGGTGGGGAAAAGAGCCACAGGAGCAGGAGAGCCCCGTGGGGCCAGGACATCCTACCAGGCGGCAGCAGGGGACACAGGGAACCACGGGTGTGGGCTTGCGCCATTCTCAATGTTCATACCTCGAGGGCACGCTGGGGGGCTGTGGGAGGAGAGAAGATGTTGGCCATTAAGTGTCAGGGACTCAGGTTGCTCGAAACTCTGCCAGAAGCCCCACCCTTGCCCAGAGCCAAAGATACAGGGACCTGGTCTGTCTGTGCTGGGCCCATCTTCTCCTGGGCCATTCTGCAGAAAGAATAACTGAGGCCGACAGAGAACATGTGCACCCAAGGTCACTTGGTCAGTTAATGGCAAAGTCAGCTAGATTGAAACTTAGATGTTGCCAAGCCTGGGGGTGCAGGGCTGCTTTCTCAGGGGCTCAGGAGGCGAGGCAGAAACACCGAAAGTTCCAGACTAGCCTGAGCTAGAGAGTACATCTAAGGCCAGCCTGGGCACCACTGTGAGACCTTGTTCAAACCAAAAAGATGACATGTGGCTGAATGGAAGAGCACATTCCCAGTGTCCAAGCCCTTGGCCATCCCCAAAGCTGACGGACTCCCATCACACCCAGGCACACCCCTGGGAGGCAGCCTCCCACCTCTCTGCCCCTCTCCTAATGTCTCCTCCCAGGTGTGACAGCACCAGTCCCAGAGCCCAGTGCTGGATTCCCTCCTTCCCATCCTGGACCATCCGTCACTCCTCTCGGTCCCTGTCCTGTCCTAGACTTAGAGAGAGGTCAGGAGGCGGCTGGGTTCTGGGAGGAGGTGGACCCCGTGGCAGCACAGTTGGAGACCACGGGCAGTCTTAAGATTGCAGGTGCTCCGAGGGAACAGCCTATGGCGGGATCTGTGCCAGCAACTGTCGCAGGATGGAGGCCGAGGGAGCTGACCGAGTGGGAAGGGGCAGTAGGGACCTCCATGTGTGTCAGTTGTCGCTGCCCCCATCCAGCCGGTCCCCTGCTTCCCTAGCCTCGGGGGGGGGGGGGGAAGGAGGCAGGCCAACCAAATGGCGCGCAGGAAGGAGGGTACCTGCAGCCAGCACAGCAGGCGCCCTTTCAATGCATCAGCCACTGCTGCCTGTGGAAGGCGGAAGCTGCTAGGTTGTGTGCCAGGCCATCTCAAGGCCCACTGGGTGGCAGAGAGGGGTTTGCCTCTGCCTTCCAATGTCCCCCTCCACACAGTGTCCCCGAGTGCTCACACACATAGTCCCGTGGGACTGGAAGGGGGTCCCCATAAACACGATACCCACCCACTCACACAAACAGCAGGGACAGACACACCCTCGCACATGGCCTCTCCAATCCATGGACACAGGGCTGCCCCCCTCACGCAGGTGTGCATGAGCACGCGCACGCGCGCGCACACACACACATACACATTCCTGCAGCCTCCAAGATTTTAACCCAGATAGAAATGTGTGTGCCGCTGTGTGTTTGAGCAAGTGTGTGAGGGCAGGAAATGGAGACAGAGAGACAACGAGAGAGAGAGACAGACAAAAAGACAGGCAAAAACCGGGACAGAGATAGGCAGAGAGAGACCATGACAGAGATCGTGACAGAGACCATGACAGAGAGCTGAAACAGAATTAGACAAAAAGAGAGACCGATGGAGAGATGGACAGAGAGACTAAACTGAGATAGCCCGGTACAGACACAGGGCCCCCCTGCCTCAGGGCCCGTCACCAGGCCCTGCCTGCACTGGCCTGTCTCAGCAGGGGCTGTGGGGTCTTTGTTCCCACACGTGTGGTCAGTGAGCTTTCTCCTCAGTCCACCCCCGGTCTACTGTCCCCACTTCCTGAGACTCTGCTAGGACCAGCCCCTACCCTCTAAACCTAGGAGCTGCCGTGGTGCTCACTGAGCCCACCATCCCCCAGGCCAGCACCCGGGTCTCCTCCCCCACCGAGACTTATGCAGCAGCACCCCCCCCCCCCACCTCCTTGCCCTTGTCTTCCTGCTCCTAGAGCAAACACTGAGGGACACTCACCCTGGTGGCTTGGCTTCCGACGGCCTTCTCTCTGTGCCCCAGGCCCCCCCTCCGCATGTCTGCAGTTACCCCGAGGCCACCCCAGCTTCCTATTGCTTCCCGTTGAGCTTGTGCTGGGGGGGGCGCAGGGGCTTTTTGGGTCTCCCTGCACCCCCCCCTCGTCTGTCGCCCTTCCCACCCTCTAGGGGAGCCTGGCCTTCTTCTCTTGACCACCACACTAGCAAGCCCTTGCCTCCTCCGGTCCTGTACCCCCCACCTAGTCCACCCCCCACACCAGCTTCCTTTCTCTCCACTCGCAGACCCAACCTCGGCCCCTCTCCCCAGCTCCCCAACTCTGTCTTGCCTCCCTGAGGACCACCAGACCCCTTGTCTGTCTATCCTCCTCCTCCACTGCCCCGTCACCCTGTCATTGTGGGGAGCCTGGCTCGGTCAGGTTCCTACAGTCTGTCTGTCCTGTCCCTCTCCCAGCTCTGCTTCTCTCCCTTTCTCTGCGATTACGATTTCTAGTCACACGGCAGTGCAGAGCCCAGCTCGCTCCCTCCCCGCCCCCTCCCTCCTTCTTTCTCTCCTTCCAGCGGGGAGGGCGCTCCCTCCCTCTCTCTTTCCCTCCACCCTCACTCAACTCCCCCCTCCCGGCTAGCTCAGCCGGGGGTGGCCTCCCCCTCCCCCGCTAATCAAAGGCTCCGTTATCTAATTAACCCGTTGGTTCTGGGCAGTCAGGGAAGGTCGGGGGAAGCGGGGGAGGAAGGTTGGCGGCTGTGCTGCCAGGGGAGAGGGCTTTGGACTGTGCCAAGCTAGAGCCTCGTGGCACACACACACACACAGCAGCCTCAGCTGCAGAACCAGGCTGGGCCACATGGACTCCATGCCACTGGACCAAGATGTCCCTCCTGCATCCTCAGGGTCCATCCTGGGTCTAGGCACCCATGCGTCTGCTGTAGGACCCCCACTTCCTCATACAGTCACTGATTTGACCCCGTTTCAATATATTACCCAATCGATGCCAGTCAACTTAGGCCCATATTACCATCACCCTGTCTTTCACTTGGGGCCAGCACTCATTCTTCCCACAAAGAAAGCTACCCCTGGTGCTCCTCTCTACCCCACATCATCTCCAGCCTGACAGCCACCTCCCAGTGCCCTCTGCAGAACAGGCTGGGAAGCTACTGCTTATCCACTTCATGTCTCTCTCTTCTATCCATTCTTCCTTCCCCTCTCCACACTACATTCATCTACCCAGCCACGTACCACCCACCCACCAACTCCCTCATCTGTGGATCCATCCATCCAATCCACACACCCACACTCTACTCATCTGTCCATCATTCCATCCACTCTCCATATATCTATCCTTCCACCTGTCTGTTCCTCCCTCTTCGTCCATCCATCATCCATCCGTATTCATCATCTCTATAACCATCCATCCCTTTAGCTATCTCTCCATTCTTATCCATTTATTTGTTCATCCATGCATTTATATCTCTCTAACCATCCCTATATTCATGTATTCATCTATTTCACATCATCCATCCATCCATCCGTCTGTCCATCCGTCCACCCATCCATCCCTTTGTTTCTGCCTGTCTATTGCCCCTCCATTTCCCCACCCTCTATCCTAAACCTGTTTCTGAAGCCCACACTATGTGCCAGGCACCGAATCAGATGCCAACAAATGTTTATGCATGGGTACAAGGCTCAGCAAGTGGAAGAAGGGGCTCTGGGTTGTATCCCCGAATCTGCCTTTTCTTCCATCTGGCCTCAGTTTCCAAGTTCTGGTGTCCTCCACTGTGAGGATGCTAATACAGATGACCTCCCGGAGTGGCTGGAGGTGGAAAGAGTACTGAACATAGGCGCTCCTGTCTCCACACTAGAGAGCTCACGCGCAGCTAGCTCCTGAGCTGACCACCACCTCGATCTTCCTGGACTTCTGTTGTCCTCCACACTGTGTCTGGCTCCACAGGTGGCCAGAGGGATCCTGTCAACACAGCAGCCAGATCCCACCCTGTGCTGCTTAGGGCTCTCAAACAGACAAAGGTGAAGCACTCACTCCTCAGTCTGCCTCTGCTCTGACCTCGCTAGGAGGGCTGAGCACCAGCCTGGGGGTCAGGGGCAGCTCTGTGGCTGCTCTTCCCTCTGCCTGCACCCTCTGCGATGTCGCATTCTCAGCAACAATGCCCAGTACCTTTTCTTCCTCCCTCTGTAAGCTGCCACCTGACCTCTCGACCACACCTACTGGAAAACACATTCACTGGCGGCCACATCTGCTTTGGTCTCTGGTTTTGAGACCTGTGATGGAGCCTGGTACGCTCAGCAAGTGCCAGGTGGGAGAAGGGATGGACACTTTGCTGTGGACATTCGGCTGTGCACACTTTCTGGGTTAAATCTCTGCTTCTTATCACAGACACACCTGCCAAGCAGTCCAGGTACACTGTAAGATTGTCAGACACACCAGCCTGGGACTTCCTCCCACCTGAGGTCTTCACCTGTCCGCAGGAGGTCACTGCCTTTGGCTTAACACCTGTGTCCCATGTCTCCTTCCTTCCCTCCCTGCCACAGTGCCACCTGGTTTGCTAGATCCCAATACATTTCTGTGCGATTATTATTCTCCAAACAACTTGTAACAGGGGAGTCTCGTCCTTGCTCGGAACCAGAACCTGCCCATGGAGCTCCTTGCTGACCAAACTAGAGCAGCTGGAGCACAGGCTAGCTGCTTTTTCTGAGTGTGCACCTGAGCTAGGTCCAGGCACAGGCTCACCGCACACAGCAGCACCCCCAGGGTACATTACCAGCACAGACACCACACCCTTCTGCAGTGTTTCTTGAGGAAAAAGCTGTTCTCTGGGCAGCAGCCCTCTCAGAACTGCTGGCATCCCCATTTCATAAACAGAGAAACTGAGGCCCGGATGGGTCTATGATGTGGGAGTGTCATATCAATCTGTTGATTTCATTGGCTGAGCAATAAAGAAACTGCTTGGCCCTGATAGGTTAAAAGATAGATGGGAGGAAGAAACAGAATAGAATTCTGGGCGGAAGAGGAAGTGAGGTCAGACTCTGCTCTGCTCCCGGACAGACCCGACAGCTCTGCGCTCTGGAGCAGAGACGCCATGCTCAGCTCTCCCGGGTAGACGTGATAGCTCTGCTCTCTGAGGCACACGCGATGAAGATGGACATAGGCTAGAATCTTCCCGGTAAGCGCACCTTGGGGTGCTTACACACATTATTAGAAATGGGCTAGTCCAGGTGCGAGAATTAGCCTGTAAGGGCTAGAGTTCATGGGCCAAGCAGTTCTTAAATGAACACAGTTTGTGTGTTGTTATTTCAGGCATGAGCTAGCCAAGCGGCCGGGGTGTTGGGGACGCAGCCCCGCCGCTCCTTATTTCAACAGATGGCGCCCAACGTGGGGCCAACTGAATCCACAAAAAGCCTGAGAAAGCTTGGGAAAGTATGGAGTGAAGCATGTTTTCTTGGTAGCAGAAATTTCTTGGGTCTGCTCTGCTTGTTACAAGCAAGCAAGCGCTCTCATCTAAGAGAGGCTTCCTGACTCAGCTTCAGCTGCAAAACCCTGCAGCTCATTAAGAGGTCCTGCCACGAAACACTTAAAGGCGTTGGTGAAAAGCTGAACGCATGCTTTTCGGTTTTCAGCCGTAGCAGGAAAAAAGTTGTGCTGTTTTAAAATGCCGGCTTTCTGGGCTGTCCTGCCAGGGCAAACTGACTGTTTGAGGCAGGAGGGCCGGCTACAGAGAGAGGACTTGAGTGTTGTCTGTTGTAGCTCGCTGGCTGGCAGGGACCTTGAAACACCATAGAGTTGTGGCAGTAAACATGGCTACAACCAGTACCTCAGCCATGAGGCTGGAAAGCTAAGGAATGGACTGGATCTACCTGGAAAAGCCACGGCTTTAATCCTACTCATATTGCTCAGTAATTTAAAGGCTCGTGTGGTCAGAAAAAGAGAGATATACAGTAAAGAGATTCAAAGATAAAGAAAATGTTTAAATGATTTATAGTGTGTTAAAAAATATATGCAAGCTAAAAGTTAAAATTCTTAAAGTAAAAAAAAAAGTAAGAAAAAGAGAAGTTGTGTGTGGTAGTACACGCCTTTAATCCCAACGCTTGGGAGGCAGAGGGAGGTTGACCTCTGTGACTTCAAGGTGTGGTAGCACACGCCTTTAATCCCAGTGCCTAGAAGGCAGAGACAAACAGATCTCTGTGAGTTCAAGGTGTAGTAGCATACACCTTTAATCCCAATGCCTAGGAGGCAGAGACAGGCGGATCTCTGAGAGTTCAAGGAGAGCCTGGTCTACAGAGTTATTCCAGGACAAAGATACAGAGAATATAAAATAAAAGTAAAAATAAACGAAATAGAGGTTAAAATAAAGCTGTACAAAGATGGAAAATACACAGAGAATCTTGATACTGTATGCTATTATGCTCTCTTTGAATTGTTTGAATGCTGAGGAAGGACCAACAGCTGCCAAAAGATATTTGTTTATAAATGCTGCTGAACTAATCCAATGTAGAGATTTTAATGCCTTGACTTTGAAATTTGGATCTAAGGACATGATACTTTAAAGGAGTTTCCTATTTTGTTTTCACAGAGGATGAGACCCTGTTCATTTCTTCTATTCCGATATGGTATGATGGACCACGCCCTCCTGAATGGTTACTGTAAACATCTTCAGGAAATTGCTTCGCTCAACTGCCAACTGAAATGAAACTAGCACATAGGTTATACCATGAAAGACCTAATTAACGACGCCCCCATTCAGCAGGAAGCAGTTTGGAGAGAAAAAACTGCGCCCATGTTCCCAAATATGGTTTATAAATGTTCTTTTACATTTAAAGGGGGAGATGATATAGGTATGAATAATTTACATTGATATGGATTTTGCTTTAGTGATTTAAATTTAAGGTTAATTTTGTAATGTATATAGGTTGTTAATGAATAATCATTAATAATAGTTAAGTTTGTAGTTATGTTAGTTAAGATTTTCTAGATATGCATAGATATATATTTAGATAGGCATTCTTCATATTTTTCAAAGATTATAGAATATGGCATTTTAAATGTTTTAACAACTTAGGACTTTTCATGACAATGAGACACTCTGCTCCTGGCAGCACCAATCTACTTCAAGAAGAAGATGGGCATCGAAGAGGAACCTTATGGAGTTTGATAGCCATTTGGGCAAGAAACTGCTCTTGCCTGGACTATTGCATAAACTGGACACAGAGAACCCGCAGAGAGAGGACTACTGAACTTGCCTAAAGGTGAGATGATCTTTTGGGGTTCCTGATTCATGAAAGAGTCTGCAAGACATTCTTCAGGACAAGCAGATAGTGACTGCCTTTGAAATTTCCTGTTTTGTGGAAATGTCTGCTGGAAACTATGGGCCTGTAGGCCGAAGATGGATGCCCCAACGGTACAGAGGAACTTTGGGTGACTGTCCAGGCAGCGAGATGTCTCTGTCATTTCTAGAGTTTGAGTTTGCTTATTTCTTATTTGCTTAGGTAATATTGTATCTTTCTGGACTGTTTGATGGAGTTAAGAATAGTTAGTTATAGTTATAGTTTTCCTTAGTTATGATATAGATTATTGTAATTTTTACTTGATAACTGTTTTGTTATATGTAATTTTGCTATGTTAAGTTAAAGCCTTCCTTTTTTGTTTAAACAGAAAAAGGGGAAGTGATGTGGGAGTATCATATCAATCTGTTGATTTCATTGGCTGAGCAATAAAGAAACTGCTTGGCCCTGATAGGTTAAAAGATAGATGGGAGGAAGAAACAGAATAGAATTCTGGGCGGAAGAGGAAGTGAGGTCAGACTCTGCTCTGCTCCCGGACAGACCCGACAGCTCTGCGCTCTGGAGCAGAGAAGCCATGCTCAGCTCTCCCGGGTAGACGTGATAGCTCTGCTCTCTGAGGCACACGCGATGAAGATGGACATAGGCTAGAATCTTCCAGGTAAGCGCACCTTGGGGTGCTTACACACATTATTAGAAATGGGCTAGTCCAGGAGCGAAAAATAAACAAAAAAGGCTAGAGTTCATGGGCCAAGCAGTTCTTAAATGAACACAGTTTGTGTGTTGTTATTTCGGGCATGAGCTAGCCAAGCGGCCGGGGTGTTGGGGACGCAGCCCCGCCGCTCCTTATTTCAACAGGTCTGGACACTGGCTCAACGTCGACTGTAGAGTTGAAAAAGAAGCTAGGCATAGAGGCACAGGCTTGTTATCCTAGCTCTGCAGAGGCTGAGTAGGAGAATGGCAAGTTCAAGGCCAGCCTGGGCAACTTAATGAGATTCTGTCTTTAAAGGGAAAAAAAAGAAGGCTGGGGCATAGCTCAGCAGTAAAGCACCCGTCTAGAATACACCAGCGATGGGCTGGGGGTGTGGCTCAGTGGTAGAGCTCCTGCCTAGTCTGCAAAAAGTCCAAGGTTCCATTTCAAGTACTGCCAATGCGTGTGCCCGTGCACACACACGCACGCACACACGCGCGCGCGTGCACACACACACACACACGCACACACATATATATCTGGGATGAAAGTTCCATGAGTAACTTGCTTGTTGAGTTCAATCACCAGAAGCCATGTTAAGAAGTTAGACTTGGTCACCCCAGGACTGAGAGGGTGGAGCCAGGATCCTTGCCCTTGCAGTCAGCCAGTCTAGCCAAATGGCTGAGCTCTGGGCCAGTGAAAGACCTTACTTTAAAACAAGGTGCATGGGGTTGATGAGGTGGCTTAGTGGGTAAAGCTGCCTGCAGCCTGCCTGGGGATCTGAGCTTGATGGAGGGGGACAGACTTCCGCAAGCTGTCCTCTGACCGCATGTTCACACGCACACAATGACAAAAAAATGCTTAAAAAAAGGAAAACCAGGGGCTGGAGGGATGGCTCAGTGGTTAAGAGCATTGCCTGCTCTTCCAGAGGTCCTGAGTTCAATTCCCGGCGGCCGCATGGTGGCTCACAACCATCTGTGGTGAGTTCTGGTGCCCTCTTCTGGCCTTACACACAGACAGAATATTGTATCCATGATGAATAAATAAATAGATATTTAAAAAAAAAGGAAAACCAAAAACCAAACCTAAACTATAAAAAACTAAATCTGCAGTGCAGATCTGAGGAACACCGAGGCTGACCTCTGGCTTTCACACGTGTCTCTCTTTCTGTCTCTCTGTCTCTCTCTGTCTCTCTCTCTCTCTCTCTCACACACACACACACACACACACACACACACACACACACACACACGGCATCCAGGTTGTCCCAGAGACCACCTACTTGGCTGGGCTGGCTTACTGACAAGCCTATGGATCCTCGGGGAGTCATTGGACTCCAGAGACCACAGTGGCAAGTCCCCCAGAGGTCACTGGGGTGTAAGCCAGCCAAGGAGTCCACCAGTTGCCAGCTACAGCCCTCTCCATCCTTTTTAGTCCCGGGGTGCCCAGCACAGCCCATGGGGGTCAGCCGTGGTCCCACTTACAGATCTCAGAGGGTCTGAGACACTGGCTACGGCCAGGCAGGACTGTGACTAGGGACCATGCCCTGGCCAGGCCTTGAATGGGCAGATCCTGAGGAACAGAGAAGTCAGACAGCTGAGCAGGATGGAGTGGGGCCGAGGACAGAGACTAGAGATTCCTAGAGTCAGGTGCTCAAACAAGGTGCTAAGCCCTCATCGACACCGCTGCAGCCCAGCCCAGCTCAGGGACATGTCTTGGGCACAGTGCCTGAGAGGATTCAGGCAGATGGCAGATCGGAACTCAGGGGCCCAGGAGAGGCGGGGTGAGGAGAAAAGGGAGGCAGGAAGCACCTGTCGGCCACACTCCGGTGCCTGAGTCAGGTGAAGACAGAGGAAACTGCTGTATGGTAGCGAGAGGGGTGGAGCCATAGCTAAAGGACAGGCGGGGGGGGGGGGGGGGGGGGGGGGGGGGGGGGGGGGGGGGGGGGGGGGGGGGGGGGGGGGGGGGGGCGGCACAGCCGGGACAGCGGAACATGTCTTCCTAGACAGCAGTCATAAGCAAGGCTCTGGGAGGGGCAGAGGCATGGGCTCAGGGAGGAAGGAAATAAACGCAGACCTGTCCCTCTCAGCCACTGCATGTCCCCGTCCCCAGGGCTCTCCACACAGCCCTGAGCATTGGTGCTGGGAGCCCAGGGCCCCTCAGGTGTCCCCAGCACAACTAGTGTCCCCAGCACACAGTGATGGCTGGTCTGCAGCAGGAGCTGTCTTCCCCTCAGATAGCCATGGCAGTGGGCCTGGCTTTGCCCTGCCTTCTCCCAGCCTTGGGCTATGATCTGCCCCAACTCTGCTGTCTGTTCTGGTGACATGTCACCAAGCCTCTATATGTAGCAATTTCCTGGTCTCTCATCTGTCTGATTCCTATGAGAAGGTGACAGGGAGCAGATCCCTGACCTCTCCTCTCATGCTGGCATCTGGGTTCACACCACTGAGCACACAGGGCAGAGGTACACCACACTGACTCACACGAAAGTATGAGCCAGTGGGGTCAAGAGTGTGCAGGAGTCTCCTTCAGTCAGGTAGGGCTGTCCCAGCAGAAGCCTGGAGACCCAGGGCACAAGCCAGGAGGCGGTGACGGAAGGATGGCATGTCAGGTGGAAGGACCCAGGCGTGCAGAGGGACATGGTGTGTGCGTGTTGTTCACACACTACTCTCTGGTCCGTGGAGCCCAGCTTGGGTGCAGAGGTAATGAAGGAGGTGGGGTGCTGGCTTCCTTCATCCCAAGCAGGCTACTGGGAACCGTTACAGGAAGGGACAGGTAACTGAGCCCTGGGGGACATTTCTTCTGCCTAGAAGTCAGAGCTGAGGCAAGGGGAAGAGGGGGCTGTGTCTAGAGCTGAGGTGACGGGGGGGGGGGGGGGGGGGGGGGGGGAAGGACGAAAAGACAGTAAACAAGCAAAACCAGCAGAACCAAGAGGCAGAAGAGGCGAGGAATGGGAGAACCATCAGGGAGATGCACAGGGCACGCGCAAGGGTAGACACAACCCTAGATCCAGCCTTTGCTGCGCTGGGCAGTTGGGACACACAGCCCAGCAGGGGCAAGAGACTCAGAAAAGGAAGATGAAGCCTGAGTTTGTTGGTTCAAACCTGACCTTAGCACTCAGGGGGTGGAGGCAGGAGGATTTCTCTGAGTTCCAGGCCAATCTTGGTTGTATAGCAAGATCCTGTCTCAACCCTTTGTAAATAAGAAACAACAAACAAACAGGCTGGGGGTGTGGCTCGGTTGGAGGGCGCTTACCTAGCGGTCAGGAGTCAGTCTGTTCTGTCTGAATAAACCACACAGGGAGGCTTGGCACACGCCTCTTGCCCTAGCTTGAGGGTCAGGAGTTCAAGGTCATTCTCAGTTCTGTGGGTAAAGCCAGTGTGGATTGCTTGAGACCCTGCTTCAAAATAATGACAAAAAGAAAAAAACGTGGCAAGCTCTTGCCCTGTGCCGTCATCAATCTGGCCTTGCTGTCCCTCCCTCACTGCCTCTCCTGGGCACGAATGAACAGTCCCCTGTGACAGAGAGCTGGAGGTTAGTGATGGGGACTCAGCAGCAAGGCAGGGACCTACCACTATAAAAATCCTATCACAGCACTGTCCCACAGAGTTCTG